GCTAAGCTTTTGACATGCGTCAATTTATTCAGTCCTCACAATGACCCTATGAAGTAGGTGCTATTACTCTCATTTTTATAGAAGAGGAAACTGAGGCACAGAAGACAGAAGTTAAATCATTTGTCCCAAGTCCCACAGCTAGTAAATAAAAAATCAAAGCTGAGATTATGAACCCGACCGTCTGTCTCCAGACGGTGCTCGCCATAATACTGTGTGCAAAGGTCCGAGTCCCAATAAATTATCAATGATTATTATTCTTCAGCAGGTAAGAAGGAAATCTGTGTCCTGGGGCCAGAAATGGAGAAGGGGGGGGGCGGGGGGGAGGTGAGGATGTGCAAAAAACCCATCAGGCAATGACAACCTGAAAGAGGTGGCAGCCTGCCTGGAGCCTGGCGATTTGAGAACAGGGCAGATAATACTTCCCTGCAGGAGGGGCTGTGGTGTTCCTTCAAGTAGGTACTAACGCTGCATGGACCAGAGTGGTAGGGATAAGAAGTGGGGGGGATTCCACACATTTTGGAAGGAAGAGCCAACAGGATTTGCTGAAGGAGTAAATCTGAGATAGAAGAGAGAAAGCAAGGATGATGGCAAGGTTTTTGGCCCGAGCATCTGCGGAAGGATGAAGGGGCCGTTTGCTGAGATGGAGGAGGCTCCGTGTAGGTGGAGCAGGATTGGGGTGGAAATCAGGAGTTTGATTTTGAACGTGTTGAGTATGAGATGATATGAGCAATCAGTAGGCAGTTGGATATAAGAGTTTGAAGTTCGCAGGTGAGGTCCAAGCTGAGATTTAGGTTTGGTAGTTGTTAGACTGGGTGAGACCATCTAGGGAGGGGATGAAGAGTGGATTGTCTGGACCGTTCAGCTCAGCCCCAGCTACGAATCTAACCAATCTCCTGCTTCCTGTCCTTGTGGCCGTTTTGAATGGCAGCTCTGCTGGAGGTAAGTGGGTGCACCATTTAAACATAAAAGTGGTGTAGAGCTGGAGATGCCGTGCTGACAAACAACCTAGCCTGAAAGAATTATAATGTCACAAATTTGAAAGGTAATTTCCCATAACAAATGTGACTTTCTTTCAACTGAATATCAGTAAAACTAATTTCAGCTTTAACCAACCATTCCTTGGAGTCTGCTAACTTCACACAGACTACCCTCCACCCAAAAAAATGTATAATGAAAAGGTATTTTACACCTTGAAAACCTCAACCACTTTAAATGATTTAAGTCACAGAAATGAGTCTGAGTTAAGTCTGAATCCCATACAACAAGTTCCATTTTCCTCCACGTAGCACAAGATTCTTCATATACAAAATTTCATGTCTGAAACACATGCCGCCCTGGAAATAAGGGGAAAAGGACCACACGAGACTGCGTTAGGTATCCCTTCTGTGGATCCTCTACCACTGTCTATTTATCCACCATGACACTTAAACATACTGTATTATAGTTATCTTTTTCTTTCTTTGACTCCCATGTTAGACTGGGCTTCTTGACAAAGATGGGCAATGTGTTTTTTCCCCCATTGTATTCCCAATGCCCAACACATAGTTGCCACTGAAATATTTGTTGAATAAACAAAGGACGAAAGGTTTCACCAATTTTTCTAGTAGGCTCTCAGGCTATTTAGGGGGTTCTGATTAGTTTGAGATTTCCCAATGCTCCTCCTGGGTTTCTTGGAATGTTGCCCTAAGCCCAGAGCAGTTCCCAAAGGAGAATGATAAAGAGAACCAGGTCCTCTAACTCAGTCCCCTTCACGGAAAGTCTGGGATGGTCCTGGACCTCTGGATTTTTGGGCAGCACCCACAGTTCATTCTCTTCTGAGGTTGCCTTTGTTTCTAGATGTTAGCACAGAGCCAGAGATAAGTGAGCCATCTGTTAGCCAAGCAAGGTGCCTTGCCAGGTTTGATTCAGATGCTTTTCCAACTCAACTCGCTGGAGAAAGAAGGTAACGGAGGAGGCTCTGGGAGGGCTCTGGCTCCCGTCCCAGCTCTAACCAGAGCAACTCTGCTGTGATCTGTGTAGGTACTGGAGTTCCACTGCTGGGGTGATCACAGGAGCCCCTTCTCTTAAAACAGACAGCTGATTGTCTCCTGACTGGCCATCAGGCTGTGGGCACTGCATGGCATCATGCACTCAAAGGAGGCCATCCAGATGTGCTATTTATCCCAGTCATTGGGGAAATAGCCAAAAAGCAAACTAAAGATGGCTGTCTGGTCAGTGAGACCAAGCCACAGCCTAAGGCTTGAAAAAATGTGGAAAGTTCTTGGCAAGGGAGTGGGAACAGGTCCAGGGGAAAGTCTGCACAGATATCAAGTAAGGAGAACACACAGGACACAGCTCAGAGTCAAAATGATGAGACCACCTCTTAGAGAGGTGTTTATATCATACAACCTATCGCATGTGCCTGATAGGAGCCATCTGAAGCCAAGACTAAGGGAGCCGAGTAAGGTCTAGGGTCTGGGACAAGGGAGGCCTTTGCCTCTATTCCGCCTGCATTTCTGGTGGGCTGAAGCCTGGGTGTGGGTTAGAGTGGGCCTGTGTGTGTCTGGAGGCTCTGAGCCAGGACCGACCTTGTCCTTGACACAAAGGACTGGACACTGAGGACCCCGGTCCACATCAGCCCATAGAATCTCAAGGGTGGAAGGGATATTAAAGTCACTTGAGCCTTATCTACTGCTTGAATCCCCCTAATAACGCAGCCACAAAAGGACACTTGCTTAACAACTCTCAGTGAATGGCCATGGTTGGCAGCAAGGAGTCGGTGGCCACAACACAACCATGAGCAGACTTTAAGCCCCTCTCAAGGAGATGCTCCCTTGTCCTACAACGACTGGCTACTGACACCTCTTGCCTAAAATTCTTCTCCCCCTGAAATGTATGTATCAAGCTATAATGGACCCAAATTCACCTTGGACACCTCCCTCTCAGTTTTGTCTCTGCCTTTCATTTGAATTTGCAGATGACTTGCTAATTGGCTTCTACATGTAACAACTTTCACAGTTCATCCCAGTTCCCATAGACAAGTGGTGATAAATTGACAAATTATCTGCAATACTCGTGTAGGCTCCCATGTACAAAATCTGGAGGAGGACACCACCCAGGAATGAGGCTACAGTCCCAGTGAGGTGGCAGATGCCGACCAGTTCTTCCTGCAAATCCCTCTGCCTGTCTTGTACCCCCTTATCCTACCTGAAAAGAGAAGGCTCATTTACTCTTTTTACAAATTGCTATGTGTCTTGGATTGCCTGCCCTTCCTTTCATCCCCACCCTAGGTGGTTAGGGAAGGAAAGAGAGGGAAGGAACCCCATGGTTCTCCTTGCCTTGTTGGTAGGGAACATTCTGCCAAGGAGCGAAGACCCTAAAACTCCTGGGGTGAGTCAGCAATTACACTCTAAGCATATACCCCAAAGAACTGAAAACAGGTGTTCAAACAATAACTTGTACACAAAGATTCATAGCAGCACTATTCACGATAGCCAAAAAGTAGAAACGACCCACACATCCATCAGCTGATGAATGGATAAACAAAATGTGGTATATCCATACAATGGAATTTTTTTTTTTGGACATATGAGTTTAATTACCTGCTAGACCATCCAGATGGAAGTATATGGTAAATGAATGGAAACGGGAGTCATAAAATTAGAAGAGAGGCAGGCATTTTTAGATGAGTTTAGATTTAGACATTCACCAGGTTGGACTATTTTTTAACATATAAAATAAAACCTTTTACCACAAAAACCAAACTGTTAAAACTGACTTCCAGAATTGTCCAAATTATTTTTTAATCATTATTTAAATTTTTTTCATATTCCTGTAAATGTTCTTTTCTCTGGCAAATCCAAACTACTATCTTTTCACTTTAGAACTTGGTTTATATTTATATAACAGAGTGCCCTAAATTGATATTCATCAAGATAGCTTTCTCTAAGTCCTAACGGTTTATATCTTCTCTTTAAAATGCATAAGTATCTTTTTATTACATTGTCATTCTCAAAGATATTCTGGAGAAAAAATTATGAATTAAACTCCTATAAATTCTTCCTCGTTTCTATTATAGTGTAACAATTTATCCTCTAACGCATTGTGGCCTATCAACTGAGGGAGGCTCAGTTTCTTGTCCTGCTCAGACACAGCCCACTGCGACTCGTAACAGCTTCTCCACTTCCGTGTTAACAACGGTACCTGAGACAGGTCATTCTTTGATCTACACATTTTGACTACTTTTAGCCTCCGAAGAAAGTCTTCTTTCTCCTGAACCTGCTTCACCAATTTCGCTTTTCCTTCATTTCATCCTTGTTTGGCAAGATTCTTATTCACAAAATCATTTTGGAGATCATCACTGCGTGACCCAGGTTCAAGTGCTTTAGATTCACAGGTGTTGATATTCTTGAAGGTATTTTTCAATATGTACTTTCTTCAAATTCACTGTCTATGTGTTTGAAATTTTCTTGAAATTCCAAACAGTTTTCTGTTGAAGGTGCAGGTTTCTCTGAAAAGGTCTGAATGTTTTCTTCACTCTCTACTTTAAGACATTTTACCATGCTGTCACGGGAGTTAAATGAAGACCTTATTTTCCTCAATTGTTCTCTAAGTATTGCACACATGGGTTGTTTTCTTGAACTGTTTGTGTGGGGAGGTGGTGGATGGGCACAGGCCTGTGGAATGCTGGGTAAGGTCACAGCTGAGTCTGATGGATTTTCCATTTTGGAAATGAAATCTTGGTTCACCTCTCCCTCTGCCATCCCCGGAGAGAGCGGAAAGCCCGTTCAATGGAATATTATCCAGCTATACAAAGGAATGAAGTATTGACACCTGCTACAACATAGATGAACCTTGAAAACATTCTGCTAAGTGAAAGAAGCCAGGCACAAAAGACCACAGATTGTATGATTCCATTTATATGAAATATTGAGAATAGGCAAATCCATGGAGAGAAAATAGATTAGTGGTTGCCAGCGGCAGAGGGTGGCAGGGGAAGGGAATAATTGCTAATGGGTATGAGATTTCCTTTTGGGATGCTGAAAATGTTCTGGAACTAAATAGTGGTGATGGTTGCACAACACCGTGAATGGACTAAATTCCACTGAGTTGTATGATTTAAAATGGTTAAAATGGTGAATTTTTTGTTATGTGAATTTTACCTCAATCAATAAAATAACAAAAAAGGAAAACCAACCAACCCAGGTGTGGAAGAAGAGGAGGAAGGAAAAGATGAGGAAGCCAGAACACTTCTCTGAGCGTAGTTTCCTCCTCTGTAACATGGTGATAAGAATGTCCCCATCCACCAGCTGGCATGAGTAATACATGAATTAGAGTTACATAAAATGCTTAGCACAGTAGGCACTCAAAATAAATGTTAATTGCCTTCTTTTCTATGTAAGTGTCTAAAACTATTTGTCCCCTTTATTACCTTTATTTCTGGTGACTCTGCAGTTGTGGCTCCAGCCAGACAGCTTGTTCTGACAAGGGCTTCCCTCAGTCCTCTCACACACATGGCAGGCTGTTCCATCATCTGGGATGTTGTCCTGTCTCCTGTGTTAAAGGCTAGTATGGTCCTTGGACCACTGCCACAGAATGACCTGAGAGCTGATTCTGTGAAATCCACCTTCTGAATCGGACCCTGGGATGCTTGGTCTGGAATAATCTGGAGGTCTGCATTTTTAATAAGTGCTCCGGGTGATGATCAGGCACATTAAAGTTTGTCATGACTGTTTTAATTTATTCCTGTCTGGACCATCTCTTCCAGGAAGTCTGCTCAGACTCCTCCCGACCCGCTACCCCCGCCCCACCCCGAGAAGCACTCTGATACCCAGAGTGCTCCTTCCCTGTGTCTGGTTCTGAGTGTCTGGGGCAGAGTCACCTCGGGTTCTGCTGGGTCTGCCCCTCCCAGGACTAGGACTGGGGAACTCCAAAGGACAGATGCCCCGGTCTCTCTTTCCTCTTGTCACCCTGGTTCCTCCTGAGTGTAGGGTCTCCTGGGATGCTGTAGGAAATGAGACACTTTGGTTCTAAAGTCCTTGGAATCCTATTTCCTTCTACAGATACTTGGGAGAACTTAGCTTTTCTCTCTTCCTGCCATTCTACTTGGGATTTTTCGAGATGGTATAGAAAATTGCATTACTGTGTCACATCAGCCTTTGCTTTTCCCGTCCCGTCTCACCCCACAGGATGTGCTAGGTGTGGGCTGGCCCCCATCCCACCCTGACAAGTCACCATGGATCCTGGAGCCGGGCCAGAGTCATCTCTGACTGTCAATGAGCAGGTATCTTCTGGGGCAGGCAGAGGTGGGGGAGTGAGGGTGAGGGACCAAGGGGTGTGGGCAAGGAGGAAGACTCCTCAGAGCCTCTCATGGTCTGTTTACCAAAGTTCACGGTCATGTCACCCGTCCAGGTGTAGTTGCTCACTAGGGTTTCTCAGGGGCTGGGTTTGGGGATTTAAGCCATGACTTTAAAATATGAAATTAAAATATACAAATATGTATAAGTTAACCTGGGGAAAGATTAGGATATCAGGTAATTTACTCTTTTTATTTTATTTGTTTATTATCTAATTTATTTTTTCTTCTGGCTTATATCTATTTTCTAATTTTTTTTGCAATGACTTTTTATTACGTAATTTTTAAAAGAAGAAAAAAAAGATGAACATCCTTTCAAATGTAATTGGAGTGAAATCCCTCACAGGTCAAGTTTGAGTCAGAAAAGGAACCGCTTTGGGGGTTTATTTCGCTCCCACTCCCCTGATGGGTCACATGGTCGCTTTTTCCAGCAGAGTCTCTGGCCGGATGCAATTTTTAGGCTCCAGGAGTGTGTTGTGGGAGTGGCTTCGGGCACAGGCCAAGTGCAGGGGAGGCCTGACACAGGGCTTTTTAATGTACAGAGTGTCCCTGATTTTCTAGTGGCCCCATCGGAAGCATTTCATTGCTGGAGGAAAGGAGCTGAGTGCTGGCTGTGTGAGCAGGGGCAGAAGACCAGGTGTTCTGAGGAGACCCAGGGGCCGCCTGCACTGCTGGGGCGTGGAGGCTCCCCTCGAGGTCGAGGTCGAGGTCCAGGTCCTAGCATGCCCACAGCCTCTGGCACAGCTGGAGCCGCAGGCCCACAGGGTCCAGGGCTTGAGTCCAGGGAGGGCAGGACTACATCACCAGGATTCCTGACCCTCATTTCAGGAAGTGAGCTTGCAGGGAAATCTTGGCCCTTTCCCCAGAGATTTGGAAATAAAGGAATCCAGAGCTTAAGTTACTCAGCGTTGTGGAGCATTCATTTTCCACCCTTTCATCTTCGAGGGAACGTCTATAAGGTTTTAAGGGACGTGAAGAGGGATTTGCTTCTTGGCCCAGCTTAAGCTGTGGATCCTGTGTTAGGGGCCCTCACAGCCACCCTCCAATATACAAGAAGCCTGGAGAACATCCTTGCAGGACTGTAGGATGAGCCATTTACCACCCCCTGAACTGAGTCCAAGAGAGGGAACAAATGGAAATATCCCCAAGTGGTTTGGCTCTGTGGGACTTTTTCTAGCTTGTGTCAGGCCCTTCCCCCTGTCAGCAGGGCCTGTGTTCTCCTAGCAGCTCCCTCCCTGGAATTAGGGAGCTGCTGCCTGCTCCAGGCTCTGGGCTTCTCACGGAGCACACAGTCCTCAGGACAGCAGGTCTGCATCCTGAAGTGCGCTCTCCCCTCTCCCCCAACTGTACCCAGAGCTCTGGCTCCCAGGAGCTATATCGGCCCCTCCCCCAGCAGTGTCCCCTGTCCTCTGTTTGCAGGTCATCGTGATGTCAGGCCATGAGACCATCCGAGTGCTGGAGGTTGGAGTGGATGCCCAGATCCCTGCTGAGGAGGAGAGCAAAGGACTGGAGGGTGTGGCCAGCAAGGGATCCCAGAGCAGAGGCCCTGCTGAAGCCAGTGAACCTGCTGCTGAAGCTGGACCAGACAACCCAGACTCTTCTGCAGAGGCAACTGGTACGAGGCCATTGCTTCCGTGTGGCATTGCTCCACCTGAGTCCCTTCCTGTGGTCCCCCTGGGGAGCCAGTATGAATCCCTGGGGCCTAGGTGGCTTTAGGGTCTTGTCTTCCTGTCCGCTGTGCAGCCTTCTGGTCAGCAACTAGGGCTATCCTGCACTCCTTGTCCCTAGAACTTTAGTTCTGGTCTCAGTCACTTACAGACCTAAACTGGGATGGGTCAGGGTGAGGCGGGAGGAGAGTGGCAGGGCTCAGCTGAGGGCACTGAGTTAACCTCAGAGAGGGCTTCTAGGCCTAACCAGACCCTCAGGGCCCATGCGGAGAGGACTAGGCCTTCAGGGTCCTCCCAGCCATTCCAACTCAGTATCTTTTGTGGTAGAAGTGAGAGGTCCCAGGAGCTGGGGATGGGAGGGCATCTCACCTACCTTGGACTAAGGATGTGGGTTAGGGAGGGCCTTGCAGAATCCCAGCTCCTTACTCCCGGCTGGGCTGGCATGAGTCTAGCCTGGTGCACTTATTTGTGCTGTCCTCCAAAGGTGATGTTAGGCTGTGAGCTTAATTCTCCTGCGAGGGGAATGGATATGGCTGGTCCACCCCACTGTTTTCCCTAGTTCCCTGCAGTACGGTGTGAGACAGCCAGGGCTGCTCTAGAGGCTGGAGCTGGGACTAGGCACTGCTCTCTGCCCACGGGGCACACTTCCTCTGACTTTCCTCATGAACGCTTTGCAGAATAGATATCTCCCTTTGCAGGAAGCTTAGGGACTCCCTTGCCGGTCGCCTCAGAGTGCCACCATTCAGCCCCGCTTGTCTTCTGCTGTTCTTCACCCCTTCCCTAGATCAGAGATCTGGGCTGGTGGGAGTGGGCCAAGAGGAGGAGCCAAGAAGAGAGCAAATGAGAACAGACACGCTTCAGGGAGACAGCTACTGCTTAAGAAAACTGCAAGACCTCACATCCCTTGCCCTACCTGCTAATCAGTATGCAGATTCATTTGGGACCCTAGTAACCTGGGTTATTTGTTCCCCTTTGGAATAAAGAAATGACAAGAGACGTGAGCGTTTCCCCCTAGCCTGGGAATGCTCTGCTTCTCTGTTGAGGCCAGGATGAGTCATCACCTGCTCCCATGGGGCAGTGCCCTGGACAGCAGGCAGGGAAGACAAGGATTCTTTGTCTGGGCCACCCTTGCCATTCCTTTCCATTGTGGGGATGGAGCCCCTTTTCAGAAAATTAGGGAGTTTTCCCAGGTTTATCTACAATGCCCCGACTTCCCCTTTCACCCTGTTATCCATCTTCCATGTCTCATTTCTTCTTGTACCTTAATTCTGCTCCTTATCCAAACCTGCTCTCGGAAATGGATCCTAGATCAATTGTTTACACCTTAGCATGAGTGTTTATGGTAGCATACATCTTCTTCCAGAGGTTTGTATACTTAAGCCTTTCATGAAAGTCTTCTTTGTAATGGAATTTTGGTCATCATCAAGCAGGTAAGGGAGATATTTTGAGGGTACCTCCTAAGAAGCTGCCAGCTTCCATTGTGCCTTTGGTGGAAACTTTCTAGGGATGTAATATGAAGAAGAGTCTCCTCTTAAAACAAAACAAAACTAAGTAATAGGAAGCTTTTTCAGGATGAGAATAGAATCTAGCTATTTGTGTCACTCTAAATTATTACCCAGTCCTTGTCATACATATTTTTATAGTTGTGGCCACTGAGACAGACTGTAGAGTGTGACACTTACCCCCATATTATTTCTTTTTTTTTTTAAAGATTTTATTTTTCCTTTTTCTCCCAAAGACCCCCAGTACATAGTTGTGTATTTTTAGTTGTGGGTCCTTCTAGTTGTGGCATGTGGGATGCTGCCTCAGCATGGCTTGACGAGCGGTGCCATGTCCGTGCCTAGGATTCGAACCGGTGAAACCCTGGGCCGCCAAAGTGGAGCACGAGAACGTAACCACTTGGCCAGGGGGCCGACTCTGTCCCCATATTATTTCATATACTCATTTCCTTTATTGACAGTTGTACGCCTGATTATGGTTTTGGCTATTGTCAAACTGCCTGGTTTTCGTTATTATGAACAGTGCCGCTTGAATGTCACTCTACTGGCCTCTAAAAAAAATTTTTTTTGAGGCATAGTCCACTCAAATTCATTCTGAAGAGAAATCAGTTATTTACATAGGCGGAAGTCATCACATAGAAAAATACAAAATCTTACTATCAATGAAAGGAAAAGTAATTGGCTATGAGGTTCCACATGCTTATGAAGCCAGAATAATACACAGACAGTGATAAAACCTAAATTGGGTGGTGCTATGAGAAACAGGTACATTGTTGATGGTTCTGTGAATTGGTTCAGTCTTTCTGAAAAGCAGTCTAGCAGGAAGCAACAGAAGCTCTGAATGGATTCAAACCCTTGGGCCCCGTGGTCCTACTTTGGAAAGATAACCTAATAAAATGAATATTTTGTGTCTTCAGATGCTAAGCTTTTATCATTCATGTTTATCACATTCCCATTTTCTCACTTTCATTTTTATATTTCGTCGCATTTTGTCAAGCAAGATGTTAAATTTTCATAGGTTCAGATTATCCTGATTTTCTCTGATTTTTTTCAATAGTTAGAAATGTATCTCCCCTCCACAGTGGAGATAAATCTGCTGCTTTGTTTTCTTTTAGTATTTCACAAGGCTTTTGTTGTTGCTTGCTTGTCTCTTTCATTCCTTAAACAATCTGGACTTTTTTTATTATATACCAAGAACGGTATAGAACTGAGTTAGGTTGGTGCCTGTCCGTATTAAAACATGGGCTGGGAATGCAGGGTTGGAAGGTTATCAGGTTCAGTGGTTCCCACTTTAGCTGTGTGCTGAATCACAAGGGAACTTAAAAGAAAAAAGAAAGAGATGAGAGGTTATGGCCTCTGCTCCCGGATGTTCTGATTCACCGGCCTAGAAATCTATGCCAGCCAGTATTAAGAAGCCACTGATCTGGTCTAACACCCAACACCCAATACCTAGACTCCTTTAATGTCTCATCATATATTAAATAAATAATAACCCCTTTCCTCATTGTTGTGTGGCTTTGAAGAGGTTTCCTGGTGGGGGTCCCCAATACCTGACTAAATCAAGATAGCAAGAGGAAGATATAACCTGGGTGAAAAGCTTTGTCCTTGGGAATTTCCCTTAGAAGCTCATAGAAGCTGTTTATCCAGACTTCAGACCTCAGGAAATGGCAGAGAAAAGCCGCCTGGCCTGGAGAGCCCATGTGGTCCTGAGGGTGATAAAGACAAGTCCACTTTTCAGGGACTGTCACTTCTAGGACTTTGCCCTGCAGAAATCCTTGCCCATTCCCCAAGCCAGCACCTGCATCCAAAAAGTAGCCTGAAGGTGGGGTGAACAATGATCCCGTTGCTGGAAGAGCCAATCAATCCCATTGATTCTAGCGCCTTCCCTCCCTGACACATGTTTATTTCTACTAATGATTATATGATAGGTCCTAGTGTCCTACAGAGCCGGGAAATGAGAGCCTGATACCCAGCTGCACATAGGCCTGCATTTTCTTCATCTAGATGTGAGAAGAGGGTAGCCCACCTTCCAGGTCTGGCACAGGGCTCTCCATCCTCCTATTCTCACTACCAGTGGCATTTGGGAAGCTGCCTCCTGGCCCAGGGAAGGCCAGCGATTGTTCTTGGCTTATGGAGAAATACAGTGGGCTGCTGAGAGTTGCCATTTCAAGCCGCAGACAAGGCATTCTACTCTGGTGACCACTTCACTCACGCCAGGCTCACTCTTTGTCCTTCTTTCCCTCAATGCCATGTGAAGTGAAGTCACTCCCGGGGATCGCTCCAAGCCCTGCCCCTGCTGTTGCCACCTTCAGCCAAGCCCCAAGCCAGCCTCAGTCCTCGCAGACCCTGACGCCACTGGCTGTACAAGCTGCCCCCCAGGTAAGGGCCACCCCAGGGAGCTGGGCAGAGGGCCATGGTCAAGAGCAAGGCATGGGACAGCCAACATGGGCTGACCATGGGATCTGGGAACTTCACGAGGCAGGACAGGGAAGGAGCTGTGGCTTGAGGGAGGGAATCTCCTACTAGGCACCTCTGGCCTCTCCCCTGCCCCACATCAGGCCCACTGGGAAAAGTAGATCTGTATTTGCCAGGTCATCTCCTTGGGTCCAGCGAAGATTGTAGAGATAATGATAACTCCTGCTGTCTAATGACTAATGAGTGAATACCCTGTCAGCCCCTCCAGGGGAGGCCTGGAGGAGTTAATGGATTGTTCACGGAGCCCGCATTTAGAGCCAGAGGGCAGCCCCAGTGCAGTGAGAAGCTGCCTCCAGGATCCTCCAGGCCTACGGAACTCCCCATGACCTTTCATGCACAGATCTCCAGGGCATCCATCAAGGCTATCCTCCATCAGATCCTCCCAGAGGCCTCTGTGGGTCCTTGACCACTTGGCTCCACCAGCCCTTGCCCCCTGGTTCCTGGCCACAAAGCATTAGTCCTGTGGGCAAGGGCCCAGGGAAGGCTTGGGAGGCAGCAGAGTGTGGTGGAAGAGGCCCCTGCACCCTGTCCTGACCTGTGAGCAGGGCCGGGCCCTGTCCCCCCATTTAGGCTGCATCTCTGAAGGCAGAATAGTCAGGTCCAGGTATCCCCTGAGGGTTGGGCCTCCACCTAGGGCTTGTCTCTTCCCTGCCCTCATGTGGCCTTTTTCCCATTGCCCTCAGAATGCTTTGTATGTGCTCAACTGGGTCTGAGAGACCCAGTGTTTGCGCTGTCAATGTTGATTTTTTATTTTCTTTTTGAAATCTTGTTTGCTTTTGCAGGTCTTGACTCAGGAAAACTTAGCCACAGTTCTGACAGGAGTTATGGTTCCAGCAGGGGCAGTTACTCAACCTCTTCTTATCCCCATCAGTATTGCAGGTCAAGTGGCTGGTCAGCAGGGGCTGGCCGTGTGGACAATTCCTACAGCAACCGTGGCTGCCCTCCCAGGACTGACCGCTGCTTCTCCCACGGGGGCAATTTTCAAGCCACCTTTAGCCGGTCTCCAAGGTAACGGCAGCTCTCCCCAGGACTGCATCAGGCCCCCCACCACCCTACACTATCATGCCTGCACGCGTGCTTGCCATGTTGGACTCAGAACCCGCGGCCCACCCAGGGCGACAGCCCTGGAGTCTGGATCCGATGTCCCAGGCACCCAGCCACAGAGCTGCTGCACCACCTCAGGACTCTAGGCCATGACACCACGCTGGCCCAGCAGGCCTCTCTTACTTCAGCCAACTGTCTGAGACTGCCCCTCTCCCCCTACGCCAGAATTCACCCCATGACCAGCCTCCTGAGAAGGACCGCAAGAAGATTCAACTTCTGGTTTTGAACCTACACATCTCCAGGCCCAAGGGAGGGGGGATGAGAGATGTTGGCATGTGCTGCCCCTGCAAGGATCAAGGGACTCACAGCTACCTGTCCCCTGCCCCACTGCCCCAACCCCCTCTCATTCTGGTGCCAGATCCCTTGGGATTGGAGCCGCCCAGGCCTGCAGCTAGGCATTTCAGCACCTCTGTCTCTGCCTTGCTCCATAGCAGCTGCCGTGCTGAACGCCACTCTCCCGGCACCCGTTCAAGCTGCCGCACCAGTACAGGCCTCCTCGCCCGCCCAGCCCCGGCCACCAGCCCAGCCCCAGACGCTGTTCCAGACCCAGCCGCTGCTGCAGACCACACCTGCCATTCTACCGCAGCCCACTGCTGCCACCGCTACTGCCCCCACCCCCAAGCCAGTGGACACCCCCTCACAGATCACCGTCCAGCCTGCAGGCTTCGCATTTAGCCCAGGAATCGTAAGCCGCTGCCCTCCCCCAGGGCTGACCAGGGATGGACCGAATCTTGGGCCAAGGGTAGAACTGACCCTTCCCACAAGGGAGGAAGGAGGTGGAGGACCAGCCCCCTGAATACGGCTCTTTTCCAACACGTCAGCAGAGATGGGCTCCCTCTGAGGCCTTCTCCTGGCAGCTGCCAGCCCATCCATCCTAGACAAGAGCAGACAACTCTGCCAAAAGGGTTGGGAAAATTCTCCAGAACCTGAACCACTGGATCAGCCTTGGAGGGGGGATGATGTCCGGGGATTGCAAACTTGTGAGCTATCACTAAGGTGGAGCTAGAGGCTCCCAGCCCCAAGCCAATGTCTGTCCCGTGTGGCTCCTGGCTCACAGTGGAGCTGTTGGATGTGACTAGAATCACATCAGCCACTCCAGTCTGGCCCTCCCACCCTTCCAGGCCTGGCCTGAAAGATTAGCCGGAGTTACTCTTCCATGACTGCGGCCCCACCCCGCCCCGCCGAGCCCCTGCGGCCCCTAGCCCTGGATACTGTTCAACCAGTGGGCACGGGCCTGGAGCCCACATTCACATCTGCCCAGCATCCCCATCTCCCGACCCCAGTGCCCTCAGCCCTCTGCCCTCTGCCTCGGGCTCTTTCTCGCCCATTGGCCTCTGAGCAAGGCTCTTCCTCCACCCACAGATCAGTGCTGCTTCCCTCGGGGGACAGACCCAGATCCTGGGCTCCCTCACCACAACTCCGGTCATTGCCAACGCCATTCCCAGCATGCCGGGGATCAGCAGTCAGATCCTCACCAACGCTCAGGGACAGGCAAGTGGTCAAAGCCAGGGCGGAGGGATGGGGGCTGTGGAGAAGCTAGCCAGCGGGCCAGGACTTGGGCTGAGGGTCATGGAAACTCGAACAAGGTGTCATATCTCCTGTGTGACCGCTCCCTGCTGATGCTGAGGCCACCAGGGGCATAGCCACCACCCTGCCCTAGAGGCACTGACTCGAGCTGGGGGTTTTCATTTATGGAGCACCCACCTTGTAGCCAGGCTCTGTGCTAGGTATTTTCTCAAACATTGTCTCACTTCATCTTAAGTACAGATCTATTAGGTAGAGATTTTTATTCCCATTTTACAGGATAGCAGGCAGAGGTTCAGAGAAATTGAGCCACACACCTAAAATGTGGCAGAACAGGGATTCACAGTCTGTCTGAATCTACGTGCAGACCTGTTCCTGCTCCCCCATGGCTCCAGATAGAGAATAAAGAAAGCCACCCCTAGAGTGTGAATCCTTCACTTTATTGATGAGGAAACTGAGACCCAGAGGGGCTAAGTGACTTGTCTGAGTCCCTTCTCTTGGCAGTGTGGGGATTTGGGCTGGGGGTGCAGCTGGACCTTGCCCTCACACCTGGGGTCCCTGCCTTGCTTCCTCTCAGGTTATTGGAACACTTCCATGGGTAGTGAACTCCGCTAGCGTGGCAGCCCCAGCACCAGCCCAGAGCCTGCAGGTCCAGGCTGTGACCCCTCAGCTGTTGTTGAACGCCCAGGGCCAGGTGATTGCGACCCTGGCCAGCAGCCCCCTGCCTCCACCTGTGGCTGTCCGGAAGCCGAGCACACCTGAGTCCCCTGCTAAGAGTGAGGTACAAGGGTTGGGATGGGCAGCGGGGTGGAGGGGGCAGGCAGGGTTGTCTGGCATGGGCTGCTTCACTCCAGACTGCCAGCAGGACAGGATTATTTTCTGAAGCCACTGGGGAAGCAGGGCACCTCCCCAAAGTGAGGGGGGCACAGGGTAAAAGCTCATGAGTCACACATGCTCTGCCCAGGGAGACAGTACCTCTCCAGCCCCCCCAACCACACCACCGAAAGCATGGATATGTGCCCTGAAAGGCCAGTGCCACCCTGAGAAGGCCAGGGAGGAGGTGATCAAAGTAAACTGGGCCTTGATCAGCTCCAGGGTGAAAAGCCCTGGGAAATGAGTTCTGCACCCCTTCCCTCTTCCCCCTCCATCCCTCCACCCCTCCGGTCTCAGTGGCTTTGATTATTCACTTGTTTGTCAATTCTAGAAGCAGTTTTTGAGTGCCTACTATATCCCAGGTGCTGAAGATACAGAGACGAATAAGACACCCTTCCTAGCATTAGCTAGCTCAGCATTGGAGACAATTACAAGTCAGCATGACAGAGACTTGATAGGGGCATGGAAAGGTGCCTTGGGAACCTAGAGAAGGAGCTCTCCACAGACTGGGGAGTTTGGCAGGGCTTCCTAGAGAAGGGACGTGGACCTAATCTAAAGGGCTGAGTTGGATGAGAGAGCATTCTACCTTCATGGAATTGCAAGGAGTATAGTGTGCCGGAGCAGGGGTTCTCAAACTTGAGTTTGTATCAGAACCACCCAGAGGGCTTGTTGGAATGCAGATTCCTAGGCCACACCCCAGAGTTTCTTATTCAGTAAATCTGGTGTTGGGCCCAAGAATTCCCATTTCTAACAAGTTCCTAGGTGATGTTGAGGCCCGTGGTTCTCAACTGTGGGATGCTGCTCCCCAGCTTTGTGAACAGCCTCTTAGCCTCATCTGTAAAATAGAGATTATAAGAGTATCAACTCCAGAAGGTTAGGAATGTTAAAGAATATATTACACATGAGGCAATTAACGCAGAAAGCACTCAAAAAAACGGTGCTTTTATTATTATCACTGTTCTTAGCTAGTGAGGAGTCATGGAAGCGTTTTTAGCAGGGAAATGGCTGTTTAGATGTTCATTTAAAAAAAATTCCCTCTGTTATCCTGGTGGAGCCCGGAACTGGACTGTGGTGAGACTCAATTCCTTCTCACCCGTTACAAGGCAGCTTAAACAGTCCTAGCAAGAGACAAGGAGCTCTGAACTAAGGCTCAGGCCCTGGGCATGAAGGGGGAATGCCCTTGAGAGCTACCAGGAGGAAGAATCCAGGGAACAGGACCCATCCTAGAGAAATTTGCACTTTTCGTACTAAAAATACTAATTTTATATATTTATAGTTTCTCCTAATTTTAGATATTATGTATGATTTTTATAAAAATTCCAACATTATGTGTAATGTAAAAAAAGTAAAAATCCCTTCTAATTATACCGCCAGAGATGACTTCTGTTGACAGCTTGCTTTATATGCCTTAAGATTTTTTTCCCCTGGAAATTCATTTTGTTTTTTTGCTGCGGAAGGTTCACCCTGAGTTAACATCTGTGCCAGTCTTCCTCTATTTTGCACATGGGTCGCTGCCACAGCATGTGTGACAAGTGGTGTAGGTCCACTCCTGGGATCTGAACCTGCAAACCTGGGCCGCCAAAATGGAGCACCTAGAACTTTAACCACTCTGCCATGGGCCTGGCCCTCTTATATGTATTTTTAAAAGCAGTTATTTCATAAAAACTGTTTTTCACTTTACTCTTTTTTTTTCCACTTAGCACCATGACTCAGAGTTCTTTCCATGTCAATAGTTAAGAGATATACCTTATTCTTTTTAATGGCTGCGTGGTCTCTCATGGCAGGGAGGTCCCAGAAGTCACTTGCCAGTTTCCTATTAATGGACATTTGCGGCCTGGCAGGCTCTAGAATCAGGTGTAGCTTTCTCCTTTGAAGGTAGAGATCTGAGAGCAGTTATCTCAAGGGTGGACACTTGTTGGGGCCTTTACCAAGTGTACTGAACGTCTCTGACCCTCTGACCTGCCATGTCACAGGTGGCTACAAGGCTCCAGCTTGGTGGGAGATATTGTCGTGCTTATTTTGGAGGTCGTCAACATTGCGTGGGTGCTAATAAGTAGCTTCTAGTCTTGCTTTTTGAAGGAGCACAGGTAGGAGTGTGCTGGGTGAGGGAGGAGATCATGCCCAATTTTGCCCTGCCTCTGGGCAGCACAGGACTCCAGCCCCCTGAGGTGGGCAAGTGGGCAGCAAGGGCTTGTTGGCTCTCTTCTCATAGGTGCAGCCCATCCAGCCCACTCCAGCTGTGCCCCCGCCTGCTGTGGTGATCGCCAGCCCAGCCCCCGCGGCCAAGCCATCTGCCTCTGCTCCCATCCCAATTACCTGCTCAGAGACCCCTACGGTCAGCCAGTTGGTGTCCAGTAAGTGGCTCCTGGAGAAGGTTGTGGAGAAGGGGAGAGGCATTAATTTGGATGCCTCGACCTCTTTAGATGCTGCTCTCCTTAATAAACTTCCTGGAGTCCAAAGGGGAAGGACAGACACCCAATGCCAGGGATTGGCTCTCTCATTCCTGTTCCTGGTGAGCTGGACTCTAGGTGTGATGAGAGTGGAGGCTGCTTAGCTGGCTGGCTGGCTGCTTCTTGAGAAGCCAAGCCATTGGCTGTGTCTCCTGTGGTCTCTCACTAAGTATTTGAGGAATGTAGATGGCCAACAGGTGTGCTTGGGGCCAGGCGTTGCAGGGGCGTGTCGGCAGATAGAGCTGGAAAATAGACCCCTACCTCCAGACAGGTTGGTCCAAGCCCCTTTTCCCCAAGTCCTGTTTGTCTTGGGGACAGGGGTGATGAGAGTCTTAAGGGTGCATGGGCCTTTTGCCAAATGTCCTCATCCCTCACTACTTCACCAGACCACTGGGCTAGATAAGCAGTGATGATGATCTGTTTACACACTCACCCCTGGTCCCTTCCTCTGGCCTAGAGCCACATACCCCGAGTCTGGATGAGGATGGGATCAACTTAGAAGAGATCCGGGAGTTTGCCAAGAACTTTAAGATCCGGCGGCTATCCCTGGGCCTCACACAAACCCAGGTGGGTCAGGCTCTGACTGCAACAGAAGGCCCAGCCTACAGCCAGTCAGCTATCTGCCGGTAAGTAAGGCTACCTGGACAAGATTCGGGCCTTCTCAGGTGCCTGGTGCCACTAGGCACTCAGAGGGACCCAGGTATCTGGCCTCTTTATTCTCTCTTGCTCCTGCCTTCTTCCAGATGAGGAAAGCTATTCTAAGGGTAGACATGAACACCTGGAGTAGCCAAAGACTGATCCAGTCCTTCTGGGGGCCCTCTGAAGTTTATCCTTCAATCTTGAGCATTTATATGGTCTTTTTGTTGGGAACCCAACACTCTAAGCCATTCAGGAATCCTAGAAGGGAAGGAGTACAGCTTACGAAATTTGTCGCAGAAGTGGGAACTTCCTTTCTGGCTTGGCTCTCAACTCTAACCCACCATCACCCCTATCATGCTCCCATCTCTTCTTATAAGGCATGACTATAAAGTGATGTAGCTGATTTTCTGTGTGCAATGTACAAACTGGTTCTGGTGCCAGTATCATTGGAAGGGTAGCAGAGGGTTTCAAACAAGAATAAGTCCATGGCTCAGGGATGGCTGAAAGGTTTCATCTGCCTGCCAACTCCGTAGACTAGACTAGAGTGACTATTACAGTCTAGGGCCATGTTGGGAATTCTGTAGTTACATCTGGGCTCAGCTAGAAAGAGTAGTCTGACTTAGTGATGCTGCTACGAGAGTACAACTGGAGGAAGACAGTACTCATGACACCCATCTGCCATCTCTGCAGGTCTCTCAAGATGACTCCTCATAGGACCTCACTCATTTGGGTGTGAAAGTTCTAGAATAGTTGTTCATAAAGCAGTTGCACCATTATCATTGCTCTACTGAACTGAGGTCATGGGAATGGTCGCCCTGTTATGACCTGGCATACAGGACAGTCTGAGGAGTCGGGGCTTGGCCAAGTCAGGGGGGGTCTTTGTGGCAGTGGTGAGGGAAACACTGATGGTCTCGCCAGCCCTGAGAGGAGCCACCCCTTGTGGAGAGTGCTCACACCTGGGGGTGGGGAGTAAGACACTCTCACTGTCCCTTCCTGGGCTTGGGTCACCTACAGGTTCGAGAAGCTGGACATCACGCCCAAGAGTGCCCAGAAGCTGAAGCCGGTGCTGGAGAAGTGGCTGAATGAAGCTGAACTCCGGAACCAGGAAGGCCAGCAGAACCTGATGGAGTTTGTAGGAGGTGAGCCCTCTAAGAAACGCAAACGCCGCACCTCCTTCACCCCCCAGGCCATAGAGGCTCTCAATGCCTACTTCGAGAAGAACCCACTGCCCACAGGCCAGGAGATCACTGAGATTGCTAAGGAGCTCAACTACGACCGGGAGGTCGTGCGGGTCTGGTTCTGCAATCGGCGTCAGACGCTCAAGAACACCAGCAAGCTGAATGTCTTTCAGATCCCTTAAGGCTCAGCCCCCAGCCCTGTGTTCCAGCACTTTGTACTTTTCCCTTTGGCACCTGGCTGCAGCCACTGCTGTGACAGCACCTGTCATTCTGCCATGTGTGGCTGTGCTTGTCCTGGGTCATGAGACTTCCCTGTGTGCATGTGCGTCAGCTGCCTCCCTCCTCTTTCCCACATATCTCACATCATCAGGATGGCAGAGGGCCCACCGAGAGCTCTAGGCTCAGGGCAGGTCACACTGAGGGAGGGGATCTGTGGTGTCACTTATAGAAGCACTTTGCTAATGTGGTTTTCGAAGGGTGAATTCTGGTTGGGAACCAGAAACTCCCCGTCTTTGGGGCAGGGCTGCAGTGGCCCCTAAAGACCACTGGCCATTAGCTTTTGTTTTCCATGGCATTCTTTCTCCACCCTCTCTTCTCCTTTGCTCCTCTGTGTGAGTGTGGCGGGTATGGCAGCTCATCCAGTGGAACCACAGCCTCACCCCCCACCCCCATTGCCTGCAGGCACACTGTCCCCTGAAGGGACCCAAGAGACACAATTCCAAAAAGCGTGATGTGCTGCTTGGAAAGTCAGACTCAGAGTCTGCCTTGACCTCAAGGTCAGAAGGTTCCCACACCCCTGGGGCCAGAACATGGTGTCTCCTTTCCCACATCTCCCTGGTTCCTTTGGGGGGAAAATTGCACTAAAGCAGAACCCGTTCTTTTGTAATCCCTGTTGGAAGGAAGCAACAGTGAACTTTAGCTGTCCTGGAGTTGACCTGGGTCTGCAGCAGGTCGGGAACTTAGTAAATAAGGCCACCCTCCCAGATTTTGATCTAATCTCTCTGTCCATGGCCATCTCCCCTCAAAACAGTGTTGCTAAGAGAACTTGCTGCCCAGAAAATCTAACTGCCCAACTAAGCAGGCACTCTGCAGAAAAATGAAAGGAATGCTGACTCTCTTTCTCTGGTCCTCACACTCACCTCCAACCCAGTACTGAGGCCTTCTCAGAAGGGGCAAATTAAACAATAAACCAGAGAGCAAGGCCCAGGAGGAAAGGCCAACATCCAGAAAGAGCTGATGGCAGCCCAGGAAAGTGTCTTGTGGGAGGTGATGTAACTCTAATTTTCTTTGTAACTTTAAGCCTTGAGTGCTGAAGGAGAAGTCTTATTTTGTCGAGCCTGAGACCACGTGTTTGTGTAAGCAATCCCCCCTGTGCGCCCCTGGTCAAGAATACCCCTGGAGCAGGATGGGTTTTGCCTCTAGAGAGGGTAGCTATGGTACGTCAAGGGTTGGCATCTCATCTGAGCTGCTGAGTGAGTTCCCCAGCCCCACGGTGGCTGGACAGCCCCTGGAACTCAGCATGTGACTCCAGGAGGTCGGGAGAGCACTGAGAGGTTTGCTTAGTTGAGCCCAGACTTGCTGTGTAGAACATCCCTAAAGGGCCACAACTCATGGGGCAGTCACCCCCTCTTCTCACTCCTCTTGTCCTTACAGAGCCAGGTCTCCACGTGCTGCCCTCCACTGCACCTCACATGATACACCCTGAGGAAGAGACTGCCAGGCGAGGGCGCATCACCCCCTCTGTCCATCACTGGTACAGAGCCACCTCTTAGCCTCACTTCCCCTGGCATGCTCTGCTTCCTTTCCTGCCAATGGCTGGTCCCTCCCAGGCCCTACAGTGCCAGCATGGCCACCCTCTTGGTAGCCCTGCCAATGAGAGGACACTTGTGTGTCAAGTTGCCACACACACACTTCTGCCCCGCTGCACTGGGACCAACCAGACCTGCCAGAGGGTAGGAGGGGTGGTGAGGAAGCAGGTGGGCGCCTTGCCTGCCCCAGCCTGCCAGGTGAGAATATGTCTTCAAGGGGGAGGGTCCACCCTCGAGTTCAGGGTCATCAGCCTATCTCAATGAAATAATAGGCTCACCTGGAAGGGGAGCTGTAAACAAGTTTTCAGTGAGAATAAAGTTCCAGCGTCTGTAAGGGATTCAGTGACCTACGCTTCACTAAGTTAGAGAGGGGCAGGTTTTCACCCTCAAGCACTGGCGTTCAGTTGTACTTTCTTTTTTGGGAGAGACAAGTGGGTCATGGCTGGTGCTCTGGGAGCAGCATATAATCCAGGGTGTGTCCATGGCAGTCGATATGCAGGAGGACACCGTCTGTCCTGTGTCATGGCAGGAAAAAGACCATGAACTGCTGGTCTAAATGAGGCCTGGCCGAGCTGTCTCAGCTCCTCCCTTGTCTAAATCTGTCTTCCCAAGGCTGGGTTAGAACGAAACCCTTTTCTCCTCTGCTGGAAGGATGGGTAGGTCTTTCAGAGGAAGGATACCAGGGGCAGAATTTTCGCAGGCCAAATTCCCCAGGCAGGGGGGTGTGGGGTGTCCCTGAAGCGTGCCCAAAGCGGAGTTCACCTCCCTGTGGTCTCTGCTCCTGCTCCCCCACCGCAGGGCCCCCGAGAAGCAGCTGTGGCCCTGAGGTTGGTGGTTTTGTTTTGAGTAGTACCAAACTCTGAAGGGAGTTGACACAAATTTTGTTTTGAAAGCACCTTCCTGGACTGAAGCCAGAGCTCAGTGGTTCGTTTGCCACGGAAAGGCAGGAAAAGGGCCAGAAATGGTTTTAACTGTTCTCGTGTGGTTTTTTTTTTTGTTTTAAATGAAAGGAAGACCAAAACTTTCTATGGTCTGCTGAATCACCTGGGGCCTTTGACTCTGCACTAACCATGGCATTTTACCCAGGTGAGGTCCAGGGAAAGAATCGAGCCAGAGGAATTGGGGAACATACTTGAATTTGGAACGAGAGACCCTGACATTTTTGTGTCCTTGGAAATCCAGTCACCTCCGTATGCCTAGATTCCCTTCCTGTCATAGGCCAGGCTCTGACACTGAGGTTCTGACTGTCCCCCGACATGGGGCAAATACTGCTGAGGGCTGGAGTGAGGGGTGGGGAGGGGAGAAGGGGGGAGAAGCACTTGATGTAGTTGTGTGGAATAAACAGTATTTTTTCTTTTGTACTGGTCTGCTTGTTTCTCCTTCATGTCTCAGGGTGGGGGTAAAAGGGAACCTATGTCAGAGGCCAGGGAAGTGGCGGGGAGCTGTCTCTGCTGTCAGAGCTATAGCCTGGAAAATCCCATTGCAAGAGGGTGAGGGTCAGTGCCCTGGACTTCTGCTTCAGAAGTTCTGCCCAGGCACTTCAGCCACGACCTTCCCCATGGGGTGCAGGGTCAAGGGGATGTGCCCCTTCTCCTTCTGGACCACCTTCCTGGTACCTAGGACCCCAGAATTCCCTGTTAAGCCCACTTTTCATCCTCTCTTCTCTGGGTCCCGACGACAGACTGCTGTTGGTGTGCACACTCCTAGGCCCAAGAGGTGACCTAGAAGCAGCTGTTTGTCAGAGAGCTGGGTGGATGGAGCTTGGATATGCAGGCTGGAGTGTCTATACAAACACACAAAGCCCTTTGCAGTGTGCGATGGGGCTGTGAGGAGGAAGAGAAGGCAGGCTATAGGCTAGGGGTCAGGACTGGGGAACATTCTAGCACAGAACTTCAAGGCGCCCTAGAAGTCTAAGTGCAAACCTGGCCTTCCAGGTAGTTATGAAGGTATGCTTATCATGATAGGAGGCTAGGACATTCACAAGTAGCTTGACTTATATTTTATAAAATTTTAGATGTATGGTAAGTGTCTTTTTTTTTTTTGGCAAGGAGGATTCACCCTGAGCTAACATGTGTGCCAATCTTCCTCTATATTTTAGTATGTGGGCCACCAGCACAGCATGGCCGCTAACAGAGTGGTGTAGGTCCATGCCCAGGAACCAAACTCGGGCTGCCGAAGTGGAGTGTGCTGAACTTAACTAGGCCACCAGGGCTGGGCCCAAGTTGAGTCTTCATTTGTGCTCTGCCCCAGGCCTGCAAATGTTAGGGGCAGGCCTGCCACTTAAGCTCAGAGCTGGGATGGCATGGCTGTGGTAAGAGTCTCTCTCTTTGCTTGTCTACCTCCTAGGAGTAGAGTTCATGCCATGCTCCCCTGCAGCCCTCCCTCCTCCCTGCTCCACCCCCCTGGTACTGATGAGGTCTGGGGGACATAATCTAAACTGGTGAGAGCAAGGCATCACCTTTGATCCCACCCCGCCAGTATTCCTGAGCCGGGCACTGTGCTGTGCTCTAGTTCATGCTCCACCACCCCACCTCCACCCTAGGGACAAGAGAGGTCTAAGATTCTGATGTAAGGCTTAGGGATCAGAGGAGCTTTATAGCACTCTGAAATGATGGGGCAAAAAATCAAATAGAGAGGCCAGGCCCGTGGCCAAGTGGTTAAGTTTGCATGCTTCAATTGGTGGCCAGGTGTTTGCTGGTTCAGGTCCTGGGCGTGGACTTACACACCACTCATCAAGCCACGCTGTGGCAGCGTCCCACACAGAAGAACTAGAATGACTTACAACTAGGATGTACAACTATATACTGGGGCTTTGGGGAGGAAAAAAAAAAAAAGAGGAAGATTGGCAACAGATTTTAGCTCAGGGCCGATCTTTCTTTAAAAAAAAAGTCAAATCGAAGCCAGCAGTTACTTCTGCATAGATCTCACAACCCTAATATTAGCTGTCTACACTAGGCTGTGACTCCTCAGTACCCAGGCCATGGGTACACAGTAGGTGCTTGATAAATGTCAGATAGATGATCAAACATATTTCCTACCCTCTCCTTCAAGGAAATTATAAGAGCTGAGTCCCTGACTTCAGGCTCCTGGAGAGAGCAGGTGCAGAGGATTCTGCTTAGCTATGCAGGGTTTAGACTGCCATTTGTGGGAGTGGATGGAATCTGGGTAGCAACTGGCCCCAGCTGGAGAGAGGCAGCTCCCAGCAGCTCCCACCGGAAGAGTCAGTGGAAGCTGATCTCTCTGGCTGAGACCAGCTGAGCGTGGTTCCTGGCAATTGGCCCAGGAAGACCTTAAAGGAAAAGGGGTGGGTTTGTGGAGGGACTGCAGTCCCTATTCCCAGGTCTGGCATGTTCTTTTGGGTTCCTGGACCCAACTGCAGCATGCGTGCATGTGGAGCCCTCCCCACACCAACAAGCAATTCTCAGACACCAGCAGCGTTCTGATACTATCTACCCAGAGATAGTATCGGATACCACAGGTAAAGGGCTCAGCCCCACAAGACCGCCCTCCACTTCAGATGCCAGTCTCAAGCCCAGGTTGCTTCCTGTGCTTCTGACCGACCAGCTACAAATTGGAGGCTGCAATGACTGTCTCCAACTCAGGATGCCAATTGCAAGTCCAGATTGTCACCAGTACTTCTGACCAACTGGCTTTAAATCTTGGGTTTGATTAATTTGCTAGAACTCAGGATACCTGTTTATGCACTAGATTACTGATTTATTGCAAAGGATATTAAAGAATACAAACCAACAGCCAGATGAAGAGATACATAAGGTGAGGTCCTGAACAAAGGAGCTCCTGTCCTTCTGGAGCTGAGGGCCCAGCACGGTGGCACGTGGAAGTGTTCTGATTCCCCAGTCTGGAAGCTCTCTGAACATCCTCTTTTATGGGTTTTTATGGAGATTTCATTACTTAAGCATTTGGTAATTGATTCAACCTCTAGCCCTTCTCCCTTCCCCGGAAATCAAGGGGTGGGACTGAAAGTTCCAACTCTGCATTCGTGGCTGGTTCCCCTGGCAACCAGCCCCCCACCCTTAAGTGCTTTCCAGAAGTCACCTTCACTGATATAAATCCAGTGGTGGTGGAAAAGGGCTTGATATGACCATTTCATCTTTATGGCTGTGAATTATTTTCAAGAACTGAGGACAAGAGATCAAATATTATAACAAAAGATGCTCCCATTGCTCTCATTGCTCATGAAATTCCAAGGGTTTTGGGAGCTGTGAACCAAGAACTGTGGATGAAGACCAAATGTGAGAAATATATTTTGGTCATCTGAGTGACTAAATATATATAGTTCTTATAAATCACAATATGGCAGGTGTCCAGTGTGCTGTGGACAGCTGTGAAGGGGGACCTGACCTTTTACGGACTGGAGAAGATGTGGGCTGGTTTCTGGACTAGAACTGAGAGATGAAGGGAATCTGAGGTCGCATGGAACTGCGTGACTGTGAAAACTCTCGCTTTCCTTTTCTCTCAACTGGAGGGTCCTTTAAAAAAGCCAGACTGGGCTTCACAGGCTCTGTGGGTAGGATGTAGGAAGATGGGGAGAATTAAAGCTAGATGGTCAGTCCCTCAAAAAAGCCTGCCTAAACAACGGTTTCTCCCTGTATCCGGAGGAAAATGCCCAGTGATTGCCCTGGGAACCCAGCAACAGTGACTGACTTGAATAAATGGATGAGAAGGGAAGCCTAGGGAATGGACGGGTGCTGATGCAGGGAGCTTGAGCCCTCAAGCCTCTGAGAGAATTGATTTTTCTTAAGAGTTAGGCAGAGCAGGTGCTAGGGTCTCCTTTTTGTCAATCACAATAATGAAGAACTATTATTATGCCCATTTTACAGATAATGAATTGAGGAATAAAGAAGATGGGGAATCCACTCCTGCTGCTGTTTTTGAGCAGCAGAACGAGGTCTTGAGCCCAGGTGGGCTGTCTCTAAAGCCTATATGCTTAACCTTACCCAATACAGGGTGGGACCCGGGGATTGCTGTCTATCTTGATCTTTTTGGTAGGATTTCCACATGTTTCCACCCACCCTGCTATGCGCCTCAACATAGTGTCTAGTTTCAGGACTTAATCCAGGGAAATGAACTGTTCACCATGAGCCCTAACTTCAGCCAACAGTCCGGAATACTGAATTTGGAGCTCTGTGCCACAGGTGCTCTGGTTAATTAGACATATTTATTATGTCTATTAGGAGCCATGATTTTTGTTGTGGGATGAACTTATGGCTACAAAAATTTTGTTTGTTGATAGATGTTGCTGGATTTCCAAGGGAACACCTGGTGGTCTTGGAGGTAGAGCCCCCAGGCTGCCCCTGGAATCCTTATTCCCAGCCCTGGCACTCCAATTTCACTCTTAGTTACATTTGGGGAGGGGAGAGGAAGAAAAAAGTGTACTCACCCCAGTCACTGAATTCTGGGGGTAAACAATCTGTAAGATCTTCTCTCCTTAGGGGAACTGAGTTCAAGGACATAAATCTTGAGGCTGATCTGCATTCCAGTTGGGAGGGGTTAAGGCTTAAGAGTCACCTTTCATTTCACCTCAGTTTATTTTATTTTTTATTTTTAAAAAGATTTTATTTTTCCCTTTTCTCCCCAAAGCCCCCCAGTACATATTTGTGTATTTTTAGTTGTAGGTCCTTCTAGTTGTGGCATGTGGGACGCTGCCTCAGCATGGCTTGATGAGTGGCGCCACGTCTGCGCCCAGGATCCGAACTGGTGAAACCCTGGGCCACCGAAGCGGAGCACTTGAACGTAACCACTCGGCCACAGGGCCGGCCTCCATCACCTCAGTTTATTTTAGAATTAATAAATGGTAAGGTGGACCTTTGTGAAATCTTTATTTTGGCTCAGAATTTAAACTTAGGCTCAATATTTCCAAGAAGTCCATGTCTGCCTTTTTCTAAATATTTTCCAGAGCACAGGGCTCCATGAAATTCCTGGATATGGCACAGTTATCTCTTCTGAACATCTAGTGGGAATACTCCTTGTTGAGGAGTTAAACCCATTGCCTTTAAGCTGTTTTTCGGTGTATGGGAAAACATCCTTCATCCAATATTCCTTCATAGGCACAATTTTCTGAAAATTCAATTCTCTCAGCCCTACAAGTTTCAAGATTCATCTTGGAAAAGAAGACTAGATAGGAAGCAGATATTTTCTTAGGTTGGAAGCATCCACAGGCACAGCTGGTCATGATGGTTAGATGCCCAGGCTGCGAGGTCAGTCAGTCAGGCTTCACCACTCTGAAGCTGGGTGACCCTGGGTGAGCCAATAAACTTTCCTGAGCCTCAGATTTCTTATCTATGAAATGAATTTAATAATGCTACCTTCCTTACAGCAGTGACGTGAGGATGAAATGAGATAATATACGTAAAGAACCTAGTCAGGGTTTCGTACTTAAGAAGGGCTCAGTAAACATAAGCCTATTATTATTTGCTCTGTGTCTGTACAGCGCCTAGGACTGTACCACCAGCAGAGAGGCATCACTGTAGGCAAAGCTCAACTGAGAGAATCAGGGACCTGGACTGTAGTTCCTGGCTCAGCTGCTAATTTATATAATATTTGTTTTGTTACATATTCAATACCACATTTTTTTTGGTAAGTTATGAAGCATAACGATGAAACAAATAACCCATAGACCTATTGTCACCCAGCCCACTGACCCCATAAGGCATTTTAACCACTGCCTTGCTCAGAACAAGCCTAACACATTCTCTGTAACTTACAGGAAACCACAAAGAGAGGAAGGAGAAGATGGCTGAGACATAGGTCAAATCCAGTCAAAGGCGGCTGAAGTCAACATGGCAATCAGACTGGACCTGACATAGACCCCGCAGCTCCTTATATACTCATTATAATATATTACCATATTATAGAACACACTCACCAACACCAACACCACAGCAGTTTACAACCACCTATTATAACTATTATCCCTCCCCTTCATTACCTAGACCCCTTTAACAGCTGCTTGATGACCCCAGGAACTGAGAAGTTGATTTGTGAACTTAATTACCACTTTTCCATTCTTTGGCCGTTGAATAAAGCTTGCGCTGTTGAATGCTCAGCTTCCATTTCATTTTAAATCTGCAACACCAAACAGGAAAGAACTCCCCGAGGAAGGGACAGATTGTGGGTATGAGGCCCAGCCGTGGACCCCTCCTCGGAGCTCCTCCAAGTGTGGGTCGGAGTCCCACTGGAGTGAGGTGAAACTAGTAACGTTGCCACTCAAACACCACTGTCAAAGCTGCTTTTGAGTTCCTCCTCAGCTCATCCCCCTCCCGCTCCCCTTTCCTTATATGTGGCCACTACAGAGTGGTGGTGATCATTTCATTCCTTTTTCAAAGAAATGTGTGTATATTTCCCTAAATGATATATCACTTAATTTTGCTGGGTTTTGAGCTTCAAAAAATGATGTTACCTGTATGAGGACTTCTGCATTTCCCCCCTACATTTCAAAGATTGATTTATTCATGTGGTCGAGTATAGCTTTATTCATTTTTTAAAGCTTTATTCATTTTTACTGCTGTATAATATTCTATCCCACTCCAATTTATCCATTCTTTTGTTGGCGGACATTTGTTTTGTCCTATTTTGCTGCCATAAATAGTGCTGGGACAAACATTCTCATACAAGTCTCTTGGTATGTATGTGCAAGAGTTCTCCAGGGTTTATATATAGAGTGGAGTTGCTGAATCACAGAATAATTTTCAGGATAATTTCTAAAGAGGTTGTAGTCTGCTCGATCACTCTGCCCTCTCTTAGTCTCAGTTTCCTCACATTAAAAAAACAAAACAAAATCTTTCATGAGGATTAAATGAGACAATATATATTAAAGTCATACTAAAACTATAATACACCTTGCAATGTAAATTAATGTTTTTATGTATTTTTTTTTTTTTGAGGAAGATTAGCCCTGAGCTAACATCTGCTGCCAATCCTCCTCTTTTTGCTGAGGAGGACTGTCCCTGAACTAACATCCATGCCCATCTTCCTCTACTTTATATGTGGGACGCCTGCCACAGCATGGCTTGGCAAGCGGTGCCATGTCCGCACCAGGGATCCAAACTGGTGAACCCTGGGCTGCCGAAGCAGAACGTGCGAACGTAACCGCTGCGCCACCAGGCCAGCCCCTAAATTAAAGTTTTTAAATAGGATAATAATACCAACCCAATCTTAGAGAAGTGGAAATGGGCTAGTGGGAGACTGGAGCTAATATTCATTGAATAATTATTATTTATGTGGCATCTTGGCACTTCATCTAATCCTCACAACAATTTTAGAAGGAGGTATTATTTTTATTAATTTATGGATTAAGATACTGAGACTCAGAGTTGTAAAGTTATTTGCCCAAGATTATGCATCTAGTCATGGAGCTGTTGTTCAAACAAGGCATGGTTCTACCTAATAGATGTTTTAAAATACTCTGGATACAATGCTTGCATACAAAGGATTCTGCCAAGACTTGGATGCCAGAGTTCATTAAGGTAAGAAGATGGGTAAGCCAAGAGCCCTCAAAGAGAGAAGACTGCAGCTGAAACTGGGGGCAGGTTGTCAACTTCATGTCAAGCTCTTTCCTCTTTTTATTTCCTTTTTAAATTCAATAAGCATTTTTAAAAATTCCTATTGAATGCAGGTACTAGGAGATATTTAGAACACAAGCCTGAAAAAGACTTATTGTCTATTTTTTTGGAGATTACAATCTAGCGAAAAGGGCAGATATACACAAAATTATAATTCAAGGTAGATTGTAAAAAATTCAGTGGACTACAATGCACCATACTTTCACATATAGGCAATGCTTTGTAGTGAAAATTGTCAGGCTTTGGAATCAGCTGAGGTTGGCACACTAATTTAGCTCTGGCCAATTTAAACCCGTAGCCTCCTCTCCTTATTGGTAAAATGAGGGTCATAATACTTAACTTTGGAATGATAATTGTAGTTACAAGATTGTCTTAAGGATTACTGATAATGTAATAAATTCTTGGTATATAGTTGATGCTCAATAAACAATGGACATTATTTAATGCCCAAAGGAGGAAGGCAGGGCAGGTATGGCTATTCCTACATTTCAAATGAGGAAGCTAAATTTCAAGGAGATGAAACGACTATTTTGCAGTCACCAAACTAGTAAATGAAGAAATCAGCCCAAATCCTCATCTTCAGGCCACCACCTTTCAAAGACCACAACACTTTCACCCGCCTCACGCTTTCCTGTTCAAGTGCATTAGGAAGAAAGAGGAAAGTAAGATGATCAAGGGAAACAGGATTTAACCAGTCTTGACCTCCGGAAGGATGAGTTTAAGGAGAGAGAGTATTTCAGGAGCAAACGAGCACACGTAGCGAACACTTGCTAAATGGTCAACAGTCCGCCAGGACTGGGTGTGGAACGGGTACAACTAGAGCCAAGGCTCCACCCACGCCTTAGGGTGCCGACTTGGTAGGTAGCGGACGCCAGGACTCAGGTAGTCACAGGCAGGGACGTTTAAACCGGGACGCTTGACGCCAGCCGGGCCCTCTCCTCGGTCGCCCCGCCCATCTCCGGGGGCGGGGAGTCGTGGCGTAGCTAGCCTATCATCACTGCCGACGCTGACGAAGTCTCTTCTCCATTGGTGGACGACGGGGTGACGTCACGTTCGCCGGACCGGCAAAGGAAGAGGGCGCCATGATTGGCTGGCGGCGGCACGGCGGGTGGTGGAGGAGCTCGGCGAGTCTGGGTTTTACCCCGGTGGTGGACTTTCCCTTTCCATGTTTCGAGGCCTTTGGGGGCTGCAGAGGGAGGGGAGTCGGCTCGGCGGAAACCTGGATCTGGTTCTAAGAGCCGTGGGGTTGAGCAGGGGTGACCGGAAGTGATCTTGGGACTGACCGGAAGCGAGGCCTGGAGGGGAGAGGAGAGCGGGTCCCGGGAGGGAGGGGGCTTCCAGCGGGCGGGGGCCGGGGGAAAGGTGCGAGAACGGCGTGGGAGCGCCGGGTAGGCTGCGGGTCCCTGCTGCTGGGCTGTTTGGAGAGCAACGTGCCCACCACGAGCCTAAGGAGCTCGAGTGTGGGAGTCCAGCGCTGCCTCTGGGCAGTCTGGACTAGTTAAGCAAAGGGGCCCTCGTGCGGCTCCAGAGAGCTGGCGGGGAGGGATTTTGGTAGTTGGGGCAGCCAAGAGCAGGGAGGCAAGGGTACGGGAGATTAGTTAGGTTGTGCGGGCAGTGCGGTTGGGCTTGGGGGCGGCTGGGAGGTACTGTGTGGGAGATCTTGGCTTGGAGTTTTCTACAGTCCTGCCCCCATTGGGTAGAATCACACTACTCGCCTTTGTACAAGAGTCGGTGTCTCCTGGGGCAACGAAGGAGCCAGGATGGCCTGGGCTCTGAAGCTGCCTCTGGCCGATGAAGTGATTGAATCCGGGCTGGTGCAGGACTTTGATGCTAGTCTTTCCGGGATCGGCCAGGAACTGGGTGCTGGTGCCTATAGCATGAGGTGAGTGAGATTTTCCCAGACCCTGCACCTTCTGAATAACAAAGGCAGGATGGAGAATAAGGGGCGCGGGGTGGGGTGGGGTGGAGTGGAAAGAAGAGGTGTATAGAGTTAAAGAAGCTGTTTGCCGTTGGGGAAAAGGAGCTTGTTTCCTTTGTTGCTTTGAGTAGAGTATTGTGGAAGAAATGGAACAAGAGCTTGTAGACATGTCAAGTCTGTGCAGGATAAGTGGAAGAAGGAAGAATGGCCCTTGATTAGCAACCAGATGAATGTTGACAGGCCGTTGTGCCAGTGTGGGAGACTGGAGGCTGATGGTGTGTGTGTGTGCGTGGATAGATTGCGCTGGACTTGTTTGAAGAAGAGGCCAAACTGAGCATGTGAGGGATGTCTGGGAAGTTGAGAGCCGAGACTTAATAAACGTTGGTTGACTGCTTTTTGGGAGGAAATGAGACCTTGGTGAAGAAGTTGACCCATCTATATCTTAGCCTGCTTTGAGCTTTTACTTAATTCTGTGGTTTCTGATTTTTGAAATATAAGCTGTGAAGTGAAAAAGTGTCATAGAGAACTTTTGGATGCTTCTGGACCTTTATGTATCAAGCTAAATGTTGATAATAAATAAAAATCTCCTTTGAAAGCAGCATAACTTGCCACGTGATTTATTTGCATGCATTAGGTATTTCGTTCCCCCGATAGTTTGTTTCATTTATAAGATGTGCAAAAATCATGTCTGGAAATGTTGAAACATCTGCATCTTAGAGTTAGATGGAATATAATTGGGTTTCTAGATGTATTTTAAAGCTTAATCTCAATAAGTGAATCAAAAGAGACGTTAGAACTTAACACTTTGAGTTTATGGATTTATAGGAGAAAGATGCTTTTTAATGGAGAAGGACAAATTTTGCATTCTGATAGTGAGATCCTTTGAGAGTTATGTAATTGAAACTTCTTATCCCTGCTAAACCAAAGTGGGCTTTCCTCACTGAAGTAAAGTTATGAGTTAGAACTTAATAGTTCATCTTCAGGAATCTTTGCTTACAGTTAGGATAATAAAGGCTATCCCTGTATACATATTTTCATGATTTTTAGGGAAATTTGAGTTCTATCATGAAATGCTCTTAGTCTTGAGGAATTTAACTCTAGTTTTGCCTGTCATTATTTACGTAAGTCTGGCCATAAAAATAGAGATTAACTTGGTCTCACAGTAAATGTCCCAACCCTGAGTTTGCGTGTCAGTATCTGACATAATATTTGACAACTTATGCTGTTTGTGTAAAGATTACCACAGCAAAAAGTTTGTTTTTGTCTAGGTTATTGGAGTTTAGGATGGCGATCATGAAGTATAAGTGTTCTTGTTATAAAAGCAGTTCACATTGTCAACAAACATTTTCGCCTCTACTACATCTTCTCTCTACCACACAACCTTCCGTTTATGAGTACTTTCCTGTGTCGTACCCTGAGTGGCCTTCATAGGTATTAGTGGAATGGCTTGCATATTCACATGTAGAATTTTTTTCCAGCATCAAATCCACAAGAGTTTTCAAACATCACTTTATGTTTTCCCCAGGGCACACTGTGCCAATAATTTAAGTATTTTTTCCTTGTTTTTTTACCTTCCTCTTTTTCATCCCTTTTGCTCTTGTCACTTCTCTTGACTCTTACATACATTTAATCATTTGTATTGACTTGTGTTAACGAGATATTGGTTCTCAAACTTTAGTATTCACGAGAGCCACCTGGAGTACTTAAAAATAGTTTCTAGGGCCCCATTTTCCGTGACTGGGGCACAGACCAGAAATCTGATTTTTTAAACAAGTTCTTAGGTGATTTTGATGCAGGTGGTCCAGGGACCACATTTTGAGGAACACTGACTGGAGGAGTTTTTATACACAAAGACAGTGATCCTTTGCTTTTCCTCTTTCCTCTGTTAATTAGACCATGTGATCGCTTTTCCTGTACCTTTGTTAGGAAAAGTGTTCTCTTTGACAAGCAATTTGTTTTGTAAAATATTTTCCTTAAAGTATTTGTTTTACCCTCCCTCGTTTGCTTATTTTCTACATCTTGTAATAGTTTCGCTTCAGATGTGTTGGTTTATATTTTATAAAGATTCTTCTGAACTGGATTTCTGTTTTCGATTCTTAATCTTCCGCTGTATTCAGTAATATTCTTTTCATAAGTGGTTCTTTAATATTCTCCTTACATTTTCTATACATTTTAATACATGGCACAAATTTTATAGTTAAAATAAAGGACATTCCCTGAAAATATGCTGAATGAAAGAAGCTGGTCACAAAAGACCACATAGCATATGATTTCATTTCAATGTAATGTCCAGAATAGGGAAATCGATAGAGACAGAAAGTAGATTAGTGGTTGACTAGAGCTGTGGGGAAGAGGGAATGGGGAGTGACTGTGTATAGGTATTGGTGTTTTTGCAGGGGTGATAAAAATGGTCTAAAATTGTGGTGATGGTTGCACAACTCTGGGACTACACTAAATAAAATTGAACTGTACACTTTAAGTGGGTGAATTGTATGGTATATGAATTGTGTATCAATAGAACTGTTATAAGAATAAAAAGATTAAATTTTGTGTTTTGTTTTCTTAAAAATTTTCTTTCTCTCATTTCATTTTTTTTAAGTTGAGGTTTAATTGATGTTACATAGAATTAATCGTTTTAAAGTGAACAATTCAGTGGCGTTTAGTTTCTTCGCAATATTGTGTAGCTACCACCTCTATCTAGTTCCAGAACATTTAAATCACCCCAAAGAAAAACCCTGTACCTGTTAAGCAATTGCTCTCCGTTTCCCCTCCCCTCTCTCCCTGGGAATCACTAATATGCAGTCTATCTCTCTGGATTTACCTATTCTGTATATTTCATATACTCTAGTCTCCCCTATATGCTGGCGGTATGTTCCAGGACCCCCCAGTGGATGCCTGAAACTGCAGATAGTACCGAACCCCATATATCCTGTTTTTTCCTATATGTACATACTTGTGATGAAGTTTATAAGTTGTGCACAGTAAGAGATTAACAGTAACTAATAATAAAATAGAACAATTATAATAATATACTGTAATAAAAGTTATGTGAAATGTGGCCTCTCTTTCAGTCCAAACTTATTCCTGAATCTGTGTAACCATCCCTTACTTGCAGCAAAAGGCTTGGTGTCATGTGTTTCAGGGGATCCCTTGCTATAGTCTTCGTACAGGCTCAGTGCTTTCTGGCACAACACGTTGCCGCCATTTGGACCATGTTTTCTGTTTGTGTCTTCCACCCACAAATATAATTTCTTTTCCATCTTAACTAAGCACTCATCATGCACTGTGGCCGTAACTTGCAGCTTGAGGTGCAACAGCAAAACTAGCATGAATTTCTTTTTCCTCCTTCACAATTTCACTAATAGAGGATTTGTTCTTACTGTAGATCTTAGCAACCTCAGCATACTATTTTTTCTTTCCTTATTAAGTCAAAAACTTTCACCTTTTCACTTAAAGGAAACGCTTGACGGCTTCTCTTTCGGCATAGCTCAATTGCCAGCATCACTCTCTTACCCTTTGGGGCCATTGTTAAGTAAAATAAGGGTTGCTTGAACACAAGCACTATGATACCAGAGCAGTTGATCTGATAACTGAGAGGGCTACTAAGTGACTAACAGGAGGGTAGCGTATACAGTGTGGATACGCTGGACAAAGGGATGATTCACATCCCAGGAAGGATGGTGCAAGACTTTATCATGCTACTCAGAATGATGCGAAATTTAAAACTTATGAATTGTTTACTTCTGGAATTTTCCATTTAACATTTTTGGTCCATGATTGACCACCAGTAACTGAAACTGGAAAGTGAAACCTTGGGTAAGGGGGAGACTACTGTAAATGGAATCATGTGTGACCTTTTGTGTCTGGCTTCTTTCGCATAAGTTTTCAGGGTTCATCCACATTGTAGCATGTATTAATACTTTAGTACTTTCTTCTTTTTTATGGCTGAGTTATATGCCATTGTATGTATATATCATAATTTGTTTATCCATTCATCCCTTGATGGACATTTGGACTGTTTCCACTTTTTTTTTTGTGAGGAAGATTCACCCTGAGCTAACACCTGTTGCCAATCCTCCTCTTTTTTTTTTTTTTTTGCTTGAGGAAGATTAGCCCTGAGCTAACATCTGCACCAGTCTTCCTCTATTTTGCATGTGGGATGCCTCAACAGCATGGCTGATGAGTGGAATAGGTCTGCACCTGGGATCCGAACTCATGAACCTGGGCTGCCAAAGCAGCATGCTTGGAACTTTAACCACTTGGCCATGGGGCTGTTCCCAGGTTGTTTCCACCTTTTGACTATCATGAGTAACGTTGATATAGTGTTATGTTTATAAAAGAAGTGACCGTGAAATGTTTATAAACATTTGTGTACAAGTTTCTGTGTAGGCATTTTTTTATTGAGGTGTAATTGTATTAGTTTATATATATTATAAATTATACATATTGTACATTAGTATATAATACGGTGTTGATACTAACGCATTAGTTTCAGGGTTACAACATAATGATTTGATATTTGTATATATTGTGAAATGATCACCACAGTAAGTCTGGTTAACATCCGTCACCATACATAGTTACAAAATTTCTTTTTCTCCTGTGATGAGAGAACTTTTAAGATTTACTCTCTTAGCAACTTTCAAATACGCAATACAGTCTTGTTAACTATAGTCACCATGCTGTACTCGACATATGTTTTCGTTTCTCTTGGGTGTATACCTAGGATTGGAATTGCTGGGTCTATGGTAATTCTATGCTTAACTTTTTTTGTTGTTCCCTCCAAAATTTAAAGACTATTTTTTTAGAGCAGTGTTAGGTTCACAGCAATATTGAGAGGAAGGCGTCCAGAAATTTCTCATATACCCCCGCCTCCACACGTGCATAGCCTCCTCTCTTGTCTACATCCCCCACCAGAGTGGTATATGCTCTGTATCTACAGTGATGAAGCTACATTGATACAT